CCCCCCCCCCTTTTCCCGATGCCAAATCATTTTGCTTACACGTTAACTGGGCTCTTTATGAAACTACTTCCAGGACAAACTATTCAAAAATATGACAACAAAACTGTTACATCATCCTTGTGTGACATGTTAGGCTGAAGTGACTAATCATTACTTCCTTTTTTCCCCTTTGACACCTGAAAGATTACGGCGTCTCTTGTATAGTAGTCGCTGCTCGCTGAAGACATGGGTTCTTTTGCTGTTTTTTTATGGAAGAGAGTTATTCAGTTTTTAAAAAAAATCTGTCTATGGGCTATGATGTTTTATTCCACCCAGCCCAGTTGGCCCTGGCAGTTATGGTTGTAGCCACCGACTACAAAATTGTCTCAATTGTGCAGAGGGGGGCGTAAACTGTTTTATGTTAATCGTTTTCTTTTAATCAACTGAAGTATTGATTTTTTCCAAGAATCTGTATGTTGTATTTACTGTTGTTTTTTATGTTGTTCTGCCGTTCGCTACTCTTCGATCAGTGTGGAATTTTGTTTGGAAGAACATACACAATTTCATTTTCTCCCTGAGGCTGTTACTGAGTTTATACAAACAAGAAGTGTCACGCAATTGTTGTTGACACGGAGTTTAGACGGTTAGTCACTAGGGTGTGTGGTTTGAGAAAAACACGATAACCCAAGGTTAAAAAAATCAGGGCTCTGCCAACAATGTCATGCTTGTAAATTTAAATGTTCTGTATTGGTGTAATACTGAGTATTCTGTAATTCCGTCCCCTTTGGGATCAATAATGTGTAATCTATTTGTTTATTTTTATGTATTTATTTATGTGTCCCCGAAACACGATGAAGTCAGGAAGTTCTCAATGCTTCGGCATGTGGAGTTACAGGTATCACTAAAACCATATTCATTTGGCTTGCTTTCAATGAAAAAAATACCCATATATCTTTTAAAGAAATGTAGCTGATTGCAGTTGAAGTAGGTTTGGTCTCTTGGTTTTAGTTGTTAAATTAACGAGAAAATGAACCAAAGTTTGATAACTTCAGTTGCTTGAAAGTCCTTGAAAACTAAAAAATATTATATATTTTAGTTCCTGTAATGAACATTTAAAAAACAACAACATATGGAAGTGTTTTGGTTAAATATGGGCCCAAAAGGTGCTGACCCAAAAATGTAACAACACATAAATCGATAAAAAAAATTACCATACTGGGAGATAAAAAGCTTGTTTCTTTGATTTCATTATTTTGACGATCGTCTGATTTCACGATGATGCCTCACAGATCCATTTACCAATACTCGTCACCTGTTGCGTGGGTCTGTAGTTGTTGTAGTTGTAATTTGTCCGCTTCCTGTGTACCAGCCGTTACTATCGTTGTTGCTTGGGTGGGTTTTTCCAATCTCGGTGTGATTACAGTCTTTGCATCTACTATCTATTCATTTCGCAAATTAATGTTTACCGAGGATTTTGTAGTGATATTTCCAGAGAAAAACCCCCAGCAAAACAAAGTCCCCAAGAAACACTATTCGTTAGATCTAATTTGTACGTGGTGCTCAATTTATATGTATCATGCATCATATTTTTTAGGTTCCTAGTTATGAGCAAGTAGTTGTATAACAGAATGTTGTTGCTCAAATGGAGTCCATTGCTGCCTTTTACAAATGGAGACCTCTATTTTCATCAAAGGAAATGTACAAAGCGATTTCGTGTTCAATGACAAATAGACCAAGGTTGAACTGCCTACGCAGTGCCATTTCATTGCCTGTAGTTTTTGTTGTTGTTGTAGTAGTAATGTTATTCACCCCCATTAACAAAGGCCGGTTTCATTTTGCTACCTCAGAATCACAAAGTTCAATTTGACATTTTTAGCCGTTTTGAGTTTTGCTAAGACCAAGAAGAAAGCCAAAAAGCAAATTCTAAATGCTTTATCTACTCTACCAAAATCATTAGAATTTTGAGAGTCGTTGTCAAAATACTTAAAGAACTGCATTCGAAAAAGCTTGTGTGAACTTTAAAATGTTGACGTCAAATTTCTCAAAAATAGGTAGCGAGCCCCAGATAGAGCTTTATATTTCTGAGGTAGCGACTTGTTTTGTTTTGGCAAGAGTCCTCGCAACTGCATTAGGTTATAACAGAGCGTTGAACTGATTAAGTATTCATTTTCAGTATCGATTTTCGGACAACCAAGGGGTCCTTATCATGCGCCACGGGACCTCCGAGATTTTTTCACCCTTATTCGATAAGAAAAGGTATTCGATCTTACCCTAGCGTAAGCTCAGGGGTGTAGCTAAAAGACGGCAGTAAGAAGGTGACAAGAGTAGCAGTTGATAGAAGTATGGCACTTAATGCAAATTATGGCAAAGATCAATGACATTATGTCTATTATATATCCCAGCAGACAACTCCCCGCACAACTCTAACGAAGACATATCGGACGTTGGTTCACAAAAGGGAACCCCCAGAACTGCGAGAGTAAGTAAACTATCTGCTATGAATTTATTACCTTCTCTGCCATCACGCTGGGTTTGTTTTTTTTCCTTTTATTATTCGTTTATATCAGATTTCTTTTCAGAACTTAATGTTTTCGTTCGAGACAATTCTGTAACATAAAATGTTTTTTAAACTCGTAATTCCACTCACCGTTATATATCATACATGTATCTCTCTTTGTGACTGTGCGTCTGTCTGTCTGTCTGTCTGTCTGTCTGTCTGTCTGTCTGTCTGTCTGTCTGTCTGTCTGT